CTTCTTTGCGTTAAACCCCCCCGAAGCATTATTGTCTGGCTTCCCCTTCTTGTGTGTTGGCGGATACGTTTTTGTGCATTTTCCGTGGCTTTAGAGAGCGGGGAGTTTAGTCTAAAAAAAGCGGGGGGGTTGGGGGGGGCGCAGCCCCCCCCATTTGCAAACCTTTTAAATCCTTCAGGATTGATTTGGTCTTCTTCGCGTTAAAACCCCCTGAAGCATTGTTGTCTGGCTTCATTTTTTTTGTGTTGACGAACACGGTTTTATTTATTTCGTAGCAAACGACCGGCTGGCAAACACGTTATTGTTGATTACTTCGTGGCTCAAGAGAGCTTCCAAGTCATTCATGATTGATTGTGTTGCTTCGCGTGTAACCCCGCTGAAACAACAACCCAAGAAAATCCGTGTTGTGAATCTGGGTTCCGAACCTGAATTTCCAACCGTCTGTCTTACTTCTTTTCTTTCTTTCTGTTCTTCTTCCTTGCTTTGGTCCTTGTTCTGGGGTGTTTCGTTCTGTCTTCCTGGGTTCTTTTCGTTTCAGGTGGAAAAACCAAGAAAAGCACACCAAATCCGTCCAAAACGTGAGGAAAATAGTGTTTTCCCCAGGAAAACCCATGGAAAAACACCAAACAAAAAAAAACAACAACAAGATCCAAAATAATGGGCCCTCCATATGTATGTATATATATATACACACACACACTCACTCTCTCTCTCTCTCTCTCTCTCTCTCTCTCTCTCTCTCTCTCTCTGTATGTATGTATATATATATATATATATACACTATATATATACATATATATATACACTATACTTACTATATATGCTATATATACTATATATACTATATATACTATATATACTATATATACTATATATACTATATATACTATATATAGTATATATATATATGCTGTATATACTGTATGTACTATATCTACTATATATATATATACCATATATACAATCTGTATATAATATATATATATATATATATATATATATATACTATATCTACTATATCTACTATATTCACTATATCTACTATATCTCTTATATCTACTATATCTCTTACAACTACTATATTTACCATATCTACTATATTTACTATATATGCTATATCTACTGTATATACTATATAAAATAATATATACTACAGAAACAATATAAACTGTATATACTAATACTATATCTACTTAATCTACTACATATACTATACATATATACTCTATATATATATATACATATATACATACTGTATATATTATGTACACTATATATATATACACTATATATACTTTATACATTATATATACTATATATACTGTAGATAAAAATATACAATATAAACTCTATATACTATATATATATACTACATATATATATACTACATATATATATGCATATACTATATGAATATATATTATATATACACATGTTATATGTATATACTGTACATACTATATCTAGTATACATACTATATATACTACATGTACTATGTATACTATGTATACATATATATATATATATATATATATATATATATGTATATGTGTTTTTTACTTTATATACTGATGTACTACCGTCCTTCCTTTCTTCCTTCTCTCTTTCCTTCCTTGCTTCCTTCCTTCCTTCCTTCCTTCGTTCCTTTCCTTCCTTCCTTCCTTCCTTGTTTCCTTGCTTTCTTCCTTGCTTTCTTCCTTCCCTGTGTAAATAACAGGACGTGGAAGCAAAAAAAGAGGACCGAAAAAAAGGACGCAAACAAAAACGGATTCCCGTTCTTGTTTCTCTTTCATTCCTTGCTAGCTCCTCTGCTTTCTTGCTGTCTTTTGTGCTTTCTTCCTGGCTTTCTTTCCTTCATCATCTTTCTTCTGGTTTTCTTACTTCTGAAATTTTGCTTTATTTTTGTTATTCCTTGTTTGCTTTCTTGTTGCTTTTGCGGGACCGAGGGACCGGCGGACCACAGGACCAGGAGACCACGGCACCAGGAGACCACGGGACCAGAGGACCAGCAGACCAGAGGACCAGGCAACCACAGGACCAAGGACCAGAAAACTAGGGGACCGCATGCACGGACACCACAGGACCAGAGGACCAGCAGACCGGAGGACCAGGGGACCACAGGACCCAGGACCAGAGGACAAGGGGACCGCATGCACCAGGGACCCTTGGCCGCACCTCGCAAACAAGGGTTGGCCGCACCTTCGAAAAAAAAAAACCCATGGCCCCTGTTATTTTTTGACTAAAAGGTAATTTAGGTGCTACTTCATACTTAGACTGTTTAAAATCATATTCTTTAACATTGATGGGTTTAACTATAGGAGTATTCATTATTACTTATACATAGAAAAATTTTATCGTTATTGATATAAAAATGAGCGTAGTTTCAGAAGAAAGCAACGACAAAGGATTTCGTATTAATGCTAAAGGTATATCTTGTATCCCCTGCCCTTGTAAAAGACCATTTTATCATAAGGAGACTAAAACCGTAAAGGAGAACAATATAATAACCACAAATACCGTGGTTGATAAAAGAAATACTAAATTTGGTGGTAGTGGCAGACACACCAGTCCTGACGATATTTTTAAACCAGATACTAATTTGCAGGAAGGAAGTGTTGAAATATGCGATACAGGATGGAGTAGTAAAGAAAGTAGAACAACACCTGAACAATTAGAAGAGAGAGTAGAGAAGTTGGAGACTGATGTTGATTTATTGAAAAAGGATGTAGAAGATATAAATAGCTATAAAATTAAGATGGGTTAAAGTTTTATTTATAATGTATAGTGATAGGGCAAGTATGCCATTTTTGTCATTCGCAACGAAGGAGAAGGAAAACCCCGAAGTGGTCGCGAATGCTTCGCGAGGCTTTGCTAAAGCGTCCCTATATGTTTCACATTGGATGTTCTCAAGAAAGGGAAGTAATGAGATACATTCAATAGCATCTCATAAGCAGGTGCTTAATTAGTTTGTTAAATCTTAAGTAATTGGCTTTATAATTCTTAATTATAAAGCGAATTATATGACTATATACACTGATAAAAATATAGTGCCATTCTCTAATAATAATGATTACAATTATAGCAGTCTTGAAATAAAAGTTTGTCCAACATGTAAGGTATATAAACAGATAGAACATTTCAAAAGTTTGCAGAAACACAAAGAATACAATATCGTATGTAGGAGATGCTTAGAGAAACAGAATTCAGAACGCAAAGTTTTTCAAAGATTTAAAAAATAATCTAAAACTTTTATATATGAGCGATATAGATGATGTGAAGACCGAAGCAAAAGCAACACGATTTCAAAAGATATTAGATAAGTTAGAACTGATTGATAAAAAGCTTGACGAATTAACCAATAAATCTAAACAATATAATAAACCAATGGATAAAGGAAGCGACACATACAAAAACAAAAGAAATGTCTATGTCAATAAGTTAAACAACTGTGAAATTCAAAGAACCTAAACAACAAACTTTAGATTATTATAGTGTTAAATTTGATGATGTCAAGAGAGAGTATGTTTAAACTTCCGTATAATCTAAAATTTTCCTGTATTTTACGAAAACCTTTTAAAGACAAAATACCTTAATATATTAGTGAGGAGATGTTAAGTCAAGAAGAACAAGAGGAAATAATCAACAAGTTCTTGAATGTTATTGAAATGAAAACCATTATTAAGGATAGAGTATATAAGTATTTGTAAGAATTGTAAGTTTAACCAACGAAATATGTGCTTATAAACTGAATATGCCTGATAATAATATTGTGAAAATATTTGTAAATATAATTATGAAGAATGCGAGGTGTGTAAAACTTTAACAGATTTCAAGGAGAATGTTCATTATTGTAGTATGAAACACTTTGAAGATGTAGTTGAAGCAGTTGAAGATAAACATAGTTGCAATATAGAAGAATATGAACCAACCAAATTAAACACACAAATATATTACTATGTTAGATTAAACCCATTTCCTACATATGAGAAGACATCACGAGTGTTGAGAAAATATCTGACAAACGAAGACAAGTTTTACAATGGTGAATTCTACAATGAGATTAAATTATTATATGATACTTCATTTAAATTTGATGAAAAAGTAAAACGATTTTACACTAAACAACGAAACAGAATAATTTATGATTATGACAAGAATGTAGATAAAAAGAATAATACAAAGATAAGATTTGTTAACCATCTTGGAAGAGAAATGAATAAAGTTGAAAGTGTAATTTATATAATTTTACAACACATATACAACTATGACCCCAAGCACAATTTAAAATATGCATTGTATTCATATGAAACCAATGTATGGATTAATAAACGAATAGCGCAAGCACATTTTGAAGATGATTATTCGTTTGAGAGGTTTATGGATTATAGATACCCTTATTTACGTACAGTAGAATATAAGAAACAAAAACCAATAAGAAATGACACAGACTTTCTCAATAACTTAGATGGCTTGTTAGATTAATACATTAACAAAATTCTTGCTAATATATTAATCTATGAAGGGGACACGAAGCTTGGGAGGTTGTAGGCTTTATCATTTCCGAGTTCAGGGTTATAGGGTTTAGGAGGTTTTTGGATTAGGTGGGATGTTTAGCTTTGGGAGGTTTTAGGCTCTATCATTTCCGAGTTCAAGGTTAGGATATTGGTTATATTATGGGTAAGGTAAAGTATTTGGGTGGTGGTTAGGGTTTAGGGGTTTTGGTATAAGGTTTGGATTAGCAGGTGGCTTCAGAAATGGTGTAAAAGCGTAGGGGGGGGTATGGGGGTATAAGCTAAGATGAACTCGGAAATGACCCTCCACTGCTGTTAGCCCCCCGCCTGGCGATCCAAATACTCTAGGGAGCTCCATCGTTTCCGCGCTGGCCACCCCTCGAGCGCGCCAGGGAAGAAGAAAGGCTTCCTTGGGCGTGAACAGGGGTAGCTATTCTGGTTGCAATGCCTACCTGTTTCAGCACTTTCGGATTTCGGGGGTCATGGGATTATGCGCGTGCGAGCGGCGACGAGGACAGCAGCTCCTTCAACTTCTCGGGGCAAGGGTCCGTGGCCAGCCTATCCAGCCTCTGTGCGCTCGGCTTGGGCTTGAGCGCGGTCTCCAGCGTGCAGCTGCTCGGGAACTGTCCAAGCATCGGCCGCGCCTCCTAGCAGGAAACTTCTGATGCGCCTTGCCATCAGAAGCCCGAACATCTACACTCGCGGGTCCTCTGCTCGCACAGCCCGCACGTCGTCGTCGAGCAGACGAACAAAGAGGAGTGCACAAGATCTGAACTCGCCAGCCGGTGCAAAGACAAAGACGCCATCGGCGTGCTTCACGGCTGATGAGCTGCTGCCAGCGGCATGTGAGCATAGTGCCAGAAGTAGCTCGGTGAGCATGAAGAGCTCCTTGTCACAGGGTCCTGGGATGCGATTTCGACAACGTACAATCCCAGATCGTGAACCAGAGTCAACTGCCTTCATGAGATCTTGCGGATGATCACAACCCCGAATGAACGGGGGCGCGGCATCTCTGACTTTGTCATCACTGCTTGGACGCAACGAGTTCCACCTCTGATCATTCGAGAGTCGCTGCCAGCCTTTGTCTCGAATCAGAGCATTCCAGGCCTCTGACCTGATGGCCGACGCCTGCCCGGAAAAAATCAGGGAGCCTTCGAGACTGCGCACCAGGTGCCGCCAGGTTCAGGGCCCAAGCAGTCAAAGCTACGATTACTTTGGGACGAGTCGATCGAGCCAAGTCCGTCTGCTTTGTTTTGTTCTAACTTCTGCGTTTCGCCGGGGTTCATCGTAGTGCGACAGCCACCCAAGAACCCAAGCAAGCAACGCCTGACAATATCGCTGGCCCTGTCGGAAGTCTACGCAGGTCACCAAATCTCGACACAAGCAGTCCATGCGAAAACTTGGGACAAAACAGCGGAAGTGATTCGCGAAACAGATTTGAAACCCCAAGACCTAGAAGAATATATTGGTTGGAACACCAAATACCCCCAAAGAAGATCGTGGATGGCAAACTCTAGGCCCTTGAAAGCTGGCAGGCTCAAAACCCTATATGAAGACGACAGCGGTGGGCAACAAGGAAACCCGAAGAGGATATGTTGGTTGGCAAACCCCAGACTTGCTCCAAACCCTACAATGGCAAACCCGAAACCCTTTATCGGGAGACCCGAAACCCTAAAAAATGCTTTTCCTGGAATCCGACGGCAGCGTTGTTTTCAAGTTTCGCTGTCCTGAATCGGGACACCCTCTTCGCTTACAGACGGCCACCTACCAAAATCGTTGTGCTGAGGCGAACAAAGACCACGACACTCAAAGAAACTTCTCTGCGAGGATTGAAAACCGATCACGTCACAGACCGACAACGTTTGAACCATCAAGCTGAAATCTACCTCGCACTGCCTGCCCCGACTCCAAGACCCTAATCCTAATCATGTCACGACGGCATCCAGATGTCTGTAGCCCGAGGCCTCTAATGAAAAAGCGAAGCTCTGTTCTGTTCTGTTCTGATGCCTTATACGCTACGACCCCAAGTCTGAAACGCTTGCTGTGCCGAACTTTGCCGTGTCATCAGCCTTCTGCCGGCAGTCTGCCCATTCCTGAAGGAAATCTTGGATTCACAAATAGCGAAAGAACCAAGATAAGGCATGCTTCCCTTCCAATGTCATTGGAGCATGGTGACACAGACCATCCTAACAGCACTATGTGACGAGAGTATTGCATGTTGCGGCACTTACAATTCACGAGTTAAGAAAAGCCCTTAAGTTAGTTGGCAAGACGCTGCGAGTTAGTTCAAAGGAATGGAAGCAACGCCCATTCCTACCACGTGCTGCAATGATTGAAGTAAAGCTTCACCACAGCTCTCCGCCGCCAGGGCCGCATCCACATCCCGTGCTAAGGAAGCCGGAAGTGGTGGCCGGGCTCCCTGACAAGATGGGCAATACAGAGGAATCGCTGGCTTGTGATGAGCCCACTGTTACTGCTGGTGGTGAGTTGTTACTGCCATGAGGGCCAACTGACTCACGCAGCGATAAAGATGACGTTGCCACATGTTTCCTCTTCAGTGCCGATGTGGACGATGATGGTCATGATTGCCAGCAGCAGGCAGCGGGGGAAGAAGAAGAATTGGTCTTTTGTCTTGTCGTCGACGTACAATATGCATTGGTGCTGGTGGTGCTGGTGGTGCTGGTGGTGCTGGTGGTGCTGGTGGTGCTGGTGGTGCTGGTGGTGCTGCTGCTGGTGCTGCTGCTGGTGCTGCTGCTGGTGCTGCTGCTGGTGCTGCTGCTGGTGCTGCTGGTGCTGCTGGTCCTGCTGGTGCTGCTGGTGCTGCTGGTGCTGCTGGTGCTGCTGCTGGTGCTGCTGCTGGTGCTGCTGCTGGTGCTGCTGGTGGTGCTGCTGGTGGTGCTGCTGGTGCTGGTGGTGCTGGTGGTGCTGGTGGTGCTGGTAACGCTCGTCATTCTGGTGCTGCTGGTGCTGGGAGGTGGTGCTGGTAGTGGTGGTTGTAGCCGGACATTGGTGGTAGTGAAATGGTGGTGGCGGTACCGCACCCTCTTGGAACTTTGTTAGTCGTCGAAGTGGTACCTGGAGCTGGCTCAAGTGAACTGCTCGGATCATCATGCTATGGCTGAAGGTCGGCATCCTTTCGTTTTAAACTCCTGGAACTCTTCTGGCTCCCATCGCGTTTCCTGCGCAGTCGAGTTGATAAGTGTATTCATGTGGTCCGCGGCATACGAAAACTACCCCTGCGGATCCTCCGTGCGCCACGCCTGGTTCTGAACTTAATGTGAATTTTTTGAACAATTGCAGGAGCTTTCATCAGCAACGGCACTTGCTCTATCCTGGCAGCAGCAAGAGCGGCCAAACAGGCCTTGCTAGCCTGCTCGCCGCTTTCTGCCCCGACGAGCTCCGCACGCGCTCGAGGCCAGGACTGGCGAAATCGGAAGGAACGCAAAGCAAAGCTGAAAAAACGCGCTTCTTGCATCCAGAAATCCATGAGCTTCTCGACATGTAACAAGCGACTGGCAGGCAAGGGCTCCGCAAAAAACCTCCCCGCATCCCGCCTCTGCCACGAGGGCCTCAACTGCGGAGCGAAGCGCAGGATGAACCTACAATGGGATGTCGGATGCCCCTCCGAACTAAATCTTCTCTCCTTCACAACTATCCTTCGTTCACTTTCGAAACTGTTCGTGTCTTCTCATCTCTAGTCGCCTTTCCGGCGTACTTCTCTTGACCTTAGTGAACGCGCAGGTCCTATTTGCGCAGTGACTGTTAAGGCAGGAACACCACAGGAAGAACGAGACACGACAGACAGTACACGCACCAGCAGTCTTTTGAGTCAGTGACACAGGTAAGAGTTACAGCAGCAGTAGTTGTCGTCGCCGTCGTTTGGAAACAGCGCTCGTAGCAATGGAAGCAGTCAATAGTTCTACCAGGAGTTATCGTACCTCAGCAACAGCTGCTACAGTTGTAATGACATGGTAGCTCTACTAGTGATACTGGTGGAACACAACCGTTTATGCAGAAACGTATCCCGGTAACAACTCTACAACCATAACACATACTCCATTCCGTTTCATGGGTTGTCAGGCGCGCCTGCTGCACGTGGGACTCAGGTGTAGCACCAGCTGCCTTGGTGCTATAGGTGTCTATTCAAGCTTCTATGTTCGGATTTGTATCACGACAAGGGCTCTATAAGTCTTGGGAAGTCCTTTGCCACTATCGGGCTCCGAAAGGATTAAAAGGACTTGGCAGGGTTTTCTTGGCGGGTCAAAAAGGCTTTGGGTTGTAGGGTTGTTTTGGATTTTTGATACACACACACCCGTGTACACAAACACACACACACACACAAACAAACAAACATATGCCCACCCTCAGGTTGCGAGTTTAAGGTCTTGTCTTGCTTGGTCATACGTTGCATTTTGAAACTGAGGTGCCTCGGCTGTTTCGCCGGGACCGAACAGCGCGTCCAGGTCCGGCTCAGATCCCATCGCATGCCATGGTTGTTGAGTTCTGGGCACTGATTTCGCTGATTTCGGGCTTCGGCACATATGTTGAGCTTCTGCTGGCCTTGCGTCGGAGGTCTCAGGGATTCGACAAGCCTCATACAGCTTCTATTGCTCAGAAAAACCACGTCCAAGCGTGAGGGCTGCACACATTTATCAGGACATGTCGAGTGGCAGGACGGCAAGTCTGTGACAGTTTATCGCTCCGATCACGAGGACATGATCGACGATGCCGGGCACTGGATGAAAAAGGCACTGCGGTACTGCAGACAGGGAGCTACATTGGCATTCTAGCCGGACCTCAAGAGAAACGCAGGGCGGCACGCCTTTCTCAGCGAGGTGACACGACGATTTGAGATCCCTCAAGTAGAAGGGGTCCCAACGCGAAGGGGTCACAACTTCGGGTCGGGTCGTTCGATTGAGTCTTCCCAGATCCGGTCCTACACGATGTTTAAATCTGAGGTGGCCTTGAAGGGACAAACATGTAGCCTGGCTCTTGTCGTATACTTGGTGCGAGACCCAGTGGGAAGCAGTTCCTGGAGAACGTGGGAACACCGCCCAAAAACCTGGAATCCTAGGCCCGTCTAGGCAGCCGGCATTATCAGACCGAGGCACTACATAAATGATGTCAAAATCGTGCTGAGCTGTAGTTAACATACTTCGGGCCTCTGGATTATGGAGAAAGCCGCGACTAACAGATGCGTCTTGCATCCGGCGAAGCAGGCCGCCCCAAAAAAACCCAGCAGCGAAAGCACTCCCGATTCAGGCTGCTGCGCACGCTGGATATAAGATCATCGCCAACGACAGGAGTTTTAAGACGTGGGCCCACATAGCATGGAGTCATGAACATGCTGCACAACTCCTGACTGCATAACTTCTGACCGCGAGGGTGAGACGTTGTTTTGCAGCGCTATCAGTCTTGCAGTCTGCTTCGAGGATGGCACCACCTCCCAAGGCAGCATCTTGTTGCACCGGTTTCAGCACCTGCTGAACGACAAGGCCTGAACATAATTCAGTGTAGTGTTCCTTTGCCTACCGCTGCGCGGTTACTACAAGCATGACTTCTCCACCTGTGACGTAGATAATGGAATTAAACACATTGCTTGGAGTCCGATTTGGGGAAATTTGCTTTCCAACACTTTTCATGCTAGCGCTGCTCCAGCTATCGTTTCCAGTACGGTTTTTGGCATCCATTGCCGGTACTAGTTCCAGCGACTTGTCGCTGTGAACGATGTTGCCGCTGCTCCAGTTAGCAATAAGGCTCCTCAGTTCTGGGAAGCTATTTCAACTGGTGCAACTTTTCATCAAACACACGGTCTCCAGATTTCCTCGCCACTCGTGTCTCCACCATCATCCCGTGCATGCTGAACTGCATCGTTGCCCTCTTCCCATGGTTCTTACACCGTATGCCCTGAAACCTTTTTGCACCCTAGGCCTTAGATCCTGCCTGAGAATAGCAATGCTACTGCGCTAACCAACCTTCTGGAGCGGCCTCGGGTCATCCGAGGGCCTGCACCAGCTTGGCAGCGTCGACGCCAGACTTCCCGAAAATCCATACATATGTGCCTGGGGCTTGGGCTTGCAGAGCGCGAGCGTGAGTGTGCTGAATAATCCACTCTGTGCCGTGTGTCATGTTCTCTATGTAAGTTGTCTAACGAGCTTTGTGCGAAAATTGCTGTGTGTATGGAAAACATCTAGGGCCTAGGGTAGGCAGCCAAGCTATCCAATCGCCCTTCGGACTGTAGGCTCATGCGCCTGGTCTGTCTTTATTTGTGGCCACTTGCCTGACCGTGTGTGCTAGGGTACTGCGCACCGTGGAGTGCAACACCTCATGTAGCACGCACCTTGAACTGAAACGCAAACACTCGGTTAACAGGTAGGCTGCACAGCCACTGCTTTGCCGAAGCCATCGCAACTCTGAAAAAATGGAATCTGAAGCTGCTGTACAAAAGCACCAAACACTCCAAACCCGTCCTGCCAACCCAAGCTTGGTACAGGTTTCTCCGCAAGGAGCATGCTTTGCAGAAGAGGTCTGCGGAGGTTGGGGAGGGCTCAGAGTTTCGACAAGCTTTTGGGTCGCAGGGTCAGTCGCTGAGCTCAGAAAGGCCGCTCTGGACTCTAACTTCAAGCTGTGCCCGTCCATACCTCGTTCCTAGAAGCATGGGAAAAGCCAGGCCTGCAACCTAGTCTCCGCAGCAAGGGTTGCTACGCTTTGCTTCAATGCATGTCAAGGTGCCGAAGCGCCGTGAAAGCGTGAGCACCTCGTGCTCGCAGAGCGGAAGGCCTCGGTCCTGCTGAAGGGAGCCCGCAAAAAAACCCTCAAGGTTTAGGCCCTGCCCCGTCGTACCAGTCTAGTGGAGCTTATGTAGCCCTAACGCTAACGCGGCGTATCGAGCCGGTCCTCGGCCATCCTCTTAAGATCTGCGCCTCAAGCAGCACCACATCAGTTCCCAAGTGCGATCACGCAAATGCCAAATGCAAACATATGCAAGGACTCAGGACTGGACTCAACCAGTCCAGAGATCCAAGTGCTCTCATGCAAACGCTCTTGGGTACAAATCGGTACTGCGTGCCCACGGGGTTGACCCTACGCACAGTGCCGACAAAACCGTGTCTCACACTGCGCTTGCTTGCTTGCCCTGGGGCACGCACCTATCCCAAGCTCACGCTTGTCGCATCTTGTCGCAGTCATCTAGTACTCCACGGACGGTCCACAAGCAGCGCTCCGCCCCCCAATATCGAATCTGCGCAAATCCAGTATCCCGGAACTGCACATCGATGGACTTCCCGGCGAGTGGCGACCATCAAACTCTGGAACCATCATCTCTCTCGGCCAGGATCTTCATTCCTTTCTACCTGCCCTCCTTCCTTCCCCTCAAACTTCAGAGCCTGCTGCTTTCCCACAAACAGACCGGGGCCCACGCCCGTGACGAACCCGCTCTGCTTCTGCAAGTGCTCCTTCCAGCCACCGGCTTTCAAACCGAGACTTAAGGTGCTGCTTCTTGAGCATATGCAACCGCCCAAACAAGAAACGACGACAACGAAGATGAGCAGTGCTACTGAAAAGTAGCAGCCACGACAGTAGCAAGTCTCAGTAGCAGCGGCACCAGCAGCAGCGGCAGCAGCAATAGCAGTAGCCGTAACCGCAGCAGTAGCAGTAGCAGTAGCAGTAGCAGTAGCAGTAGCAGTAGCAGTAGCAGTAGCAGTAGCAGTAGCAGTAGCAGTAGCAGTAGCAGTAGCAGTAGCAGTAGCAGTAATTAGCAGTAGCAGTAGCAGTAGCAGTAGCAGTAGTAGTAGGGCTTATTTGGACTCTCGCGACTCGGGCAAGGCAGCCGAGGCTTGTCCAGGTTGGCAGGCAGGCGCGCGTGGCCCATCACGTCGGCTTAGGCCGCAGTAGCAGCACCAGTAGCAGTGCAGCAGTAGTAGCAGTCGTCCTCGTAGTGGCCGTCGCCGTCTTCGTAGCGGACTCGTAGTGGTCGCAGTGGTCGTCGTCGCTGCAGCAGTCGTAGCAGCAGCGGCAGCAGCAGCATCAGCCGTCGTCGTCGCAGGAGTAGTAGTGGTGGTAGTCGTTGTAGTACAGTGCGCCGGGAAACGAGGGACGAAACTTGACCAAGCTTGTACGCCGATCTTGCCATCTTGGTTTTGCAAGATTGGCGTGCAAGCTTGCGAAAACCACTTGCACTATTTGGACCACTCGCATCACTTGCACCACTTCGGGGGGAGAGTGGGGGCAATCTTGATCATCTTGCCTTGACCCACTTGCACTAATTGCGCCACTTGCACCACCTGCGCCACTTGCACCACTTGGGGATAAGATTGTGAGACTCGCGAGATACAAAAATTTTGGTCACAAACAGCCCGGCCCTCGTTTGCGGGGTAGCAGCAGCAGCGGCGGCGGCGGCGGCGGCGGTGGTGATGGTGGCAATGGTGCTGGTGGTGGGGGTGGGAATGGTGCTGGTAGTGGTTAGTAGGTGGTAAATAGCAGGGAAGTAGCTGGTAAGTGGCAGGTAGCAGGTGGTAGGTAGTCGGTGGCAGGTAGCTGCTTGTCGGTAGTGGATAATCGGGAGCAGGCAGTAGTTCGAATGTCGCAGTGAACAGCTACTAGGCAGTAGTTAGTACAACGTGGCTGTCCTGAGCAGCCTTGGCGACAGCCGAGCCAGCAAAAAGGTACATTGCCGAAAGGCAGACCCCGAAAGTCCTTGAGGCCGCGCAGTTTGACAAGGATGGCGTCCACCTCGGAAGGAATGCAGAAGCTGAAGCCCGGTGTGGTGAAAGGCTCGCTGAGTTCCCGGAGGGCAGTTGCAGCCGGACATTGCGTAGAAACTCTCTGCCAATCGCAAAAGCAAAATCGTTGCCAGCTCAGGGGCATTTGACACCACAAATTGTGCTGAGTTCTCCTCCATGTAGCAAAGTGCCTGGTTCCAGTGGCTGTAGAGTGTGTGAATGCAGCAAGAGGGGTCGGTGCCTTCTCATCAGCACCGGTGAGGTGGAAAGGACTGGCACTGATGGCCACTGTGGCACCGATGTAGAACTCTTCTGGCCTGGGCTCTGACAACGCTTCGCGCCGACCACCATGTGGGGAACGTAGAGAAGGCACTGGTGATTGTGATGGTCCTTCTCGCAACAGATAGGTGTCATGCGTAATTGAACAAAGTACATGTGGTAGCACTTTTTCTCAGAGCGATCTCGTTGGTGACGTGGTGGTGGACGTAGTTTTGGTGCCGGTGGAGATGATGCCTATCTTAACGGTGATGGTAGTTATGATGATGATCTTCATCATGCTGGCACGAAGCTCGCACCACGGTGGTCAGTGGGACTCTGAATACGAGGGTCAGCATACACAAAACATGCGTTTAATACCGCTAGTAGCACATCCCATTCGATTGAACCCTGTTTGCCAATGTTGGCCTGTTACTGTAAAGGACGCAACTGATATGCTTGGTGTTCTGTTGATCGGCTCTGTGCAGATGGCGCGCTGCTGATGA